TTTTCTTTAACCTGCTTTGACCCCAGAGTGTATGTCAGCTTTGTTTCTCGATTTTGGTTTTGACATAAATCCTTAGGGTCCCTTCTGATTTGTCCACTTTGGCCTGGTTTCAGTATGTTTAGATGAATGTTGTTATTTGTAATAATAATTATCCAGAACACAGAAATTATACCACTGAGTATATCCTTAGTGTTTACTAATAAGGTTCAGTGGGCTATGGGAATGGCGTAGCACCCCATGAAAATGCAAGCTGCCTGTGGCTTAGGTCCAAATGCATATTCCCATTCAATAGTTAAACGACCGGAGACACGAGATAATGCTTCTCTAAGCAGCACTAGCAAACACCTGTGCTGCTAGTTGCTCGATCCCCTTTGAGCATCGAAATATAAGGTATTGTCCTTTCTGTACCTACTGTACCTTATACCACAGGCTCTGCTAAATGAACCCAGGTGACCAAGAAGGAGCTGCCTTAAAGATAACCAATATGATGAAGACAACACCACAGTCCTGGGCTAGAGAGATGGCTCAGTGGAGACTGTATTTTTTTTTAGGACCTGAGTTTAGATCCCAGTACCCACAGTGGGTAGCTTTCAACAGGTTGTAACTCCAGTTCAAGGGGATCCAACGTAGGGGCTCTGAGGATACATATATATATATACACACATGTATACATGTCACTAAAATAAAATCCTAAAAACAACAACAACCAAACACAAACAGAAACTAATCTAAAACCACAGTTCTGATGTCCCAGTCTGGGATGTTTCCTTCTGAACTTATGCTGGTGCTTCACTTAATATTGTTGTAACAGTATTAAAAACTGGGGCTTTTAAAGGCAACCAGGATATTAGGGCTTCATTCTCAGGGATAGATCAAGATCCATATCATGGAGGTGAATGTCCTTCCTTCCTTTGCTCTCTGTCACACAAATGCAGACTTATCCTTCTGCCAGAGCTGTGATCCTGGACTCCTCAACCTCCAGAACTGTAAGTGAAATAAACCTCTGTTTTGTTTTCTATTTATAAATTACTCATTTTTAGGCATTTAATTATAGCAGTAGAGAATGAACTAAGACATAAATTAACCATGACAGGTACAAAAGGAGCCTGGAAAGAAGTTCCTAATTGGGTTGATAATTAGGCAGAAGTTAATTACAATGGATTCCTACTTGCCAAGGTACAGGAAAAGAAAGCCAGCTGCCCGAGTGGGCAGTCAGTGAATGGGTCTTCTCAAACAGCAAAGAGGGGAAGACAAAAGGGAGGATCTGAAACCAGGCCAGCCTAGGCTGCTCCAGGAGGGGCTGAGTCTACATATGGCACCTCCCAGTTCTGTGGACACCTGAAGTAGTTAACCCACCACATATGACCTTCAACATGGCCCAGGGGTGACAGTAGAATATATTGAAGTGGCTTTAGGGGTCCCATCGTGACAAGATGAGGGCTCCTGCAAACTCAATTCCAGATGCTGACCTACAACTCTACCCTGTTGTGTGTAAATTTAAAACATGCTACCTCCTTTGCCCAGGACTTTAGCTCTTGCTCCTGGCTTAGCTCTGAGATCTGCTGCCTGCCACTGGCTCCACTCCTGACTTGTCTGGTAGCTGTGACTCTGGAGCTGCTGCCTGCACTCTGGTCCAGCTTCCTCTTGTTCCTCCTGGCTAGCTTCACCAAGCTACCATTTATTGCCCTGTTTCTCTCTCTCTCTCTCTCTCTCTCTCTCTCTCTCTCTCTTTTTCTCCTCCCCCCATCTTTGTTCCAAGAATAAAAAACATTTAGACAGCTTTATTATTTTAGAACTTTCCAGATAGCACAATTGCTGAGTACAGAATCTTCTGCCCTAACCTTATCAGCCAGCCTCCACCAGTGGCCGAGCCCACCCACTGTAGCTACCCCCAAATCTTACATGACTGCTGCTTTCTTCTTGTTGCAAAGCCTGGCTAAAAAGGGATCTTCTCTTTCCTCGATTCACTTTTTCCACCTGGGACCTGGAAGTCCCACCTTTACCCTTCGCCCAGCAATTGGCTCCCGCCTTCTTTATTGACAAAATCAAGAACCAATTAAGGAGCCAGACTTTACTATCAGCACCTCCCCCTACATCTCTACCCCACTGATATACACGGAGCTGCCACTCTGGTGGTCCCTGCCATGTTCATGAGGTACAATCTGGCATGCTGCTTACCCTCCACCCCGAGTCTGATGATACCTAAACATGGTAACATCTTGGCTACCCTAAGAATGATGCCCCTTCATCTAGCCCTTTATACTTTAGAGAGCATCTTGTGCTTTCCTGTTTCTTTTGATCCTGGAGATCTGATAGAGTGTTGCTACTGCTCTTCCATCAGTGTCTCTACGCACCCAGTGACAGGCACAACCAAGACTGGGCCAAATGCTTCTGCTGCTGTCTAACGCTGCAGGAAAACATGTTTTATTTTTATGGCAATTAAAGAAGAGACAGGAAAGAAGTGTTATTGGAAATCTCCAGGATTCCCAACTGAGCCATCATGATACTCAGGAAATAGGGTTCTACTCTTGAGGTTCTTAGTTCTGATAACAAAAGAATTTAAGGATAGACTCAGACGGAAGCTTGAGGACAGAGAAAGACTCATTCTAGAAACACCTGAAGCACAGTCCATTAGAGTCTAGAAGGAAATTTCAAAAGAGTTTCAGTGAGTTTGGGGTCACTGATTTGAAACTGTTTCCCCCAATAAAGCAAGCAGTACTTAGCGTATTGTACTTTCAAAATCAATCTTCAGCTGTCTGGTTGGATTTTTTTGTCACTCAAGACAAGCTGAGGTCATTTGGGAAGAGGAAACCTCAGTTCAGAAAATGTCTCCATCAGATTGGCTTTTTCCTGACTCACTCATCTTATCCAATAAGCATCTTTGATATTGTTTTCTTCCACTAACTACAGTGTATGTGTGTGCATCTCTTGAGTGTCTATGTACATGTATATGTATGTTTATATATGTGTGTATGTTTCTGTGTCTGTGTATCTGTGTTTGTATGAAAGTATATGAGTGTGGGTCTGTGTGGGAGAGTATGTAAGTGTGAGTCTGTATGTGTGTCTGTGTGTGAGTCTCTATGTGTGTGTCTGTGTGTATGAATCTGTGGTCTGCCTCTTTGTGTGTGTATGAATACCTCTGCGTCTCTGTGTGTGTATGTCTGTGAGTGTCTCTGTGTGTCTATGTGTATGTGTTTTTGTGTTTCTATGTGTGTGTGTCTGTGTGTTTGTGTGTCTATGTGTGTGTGTGTGTACGTCTGTGTGTATCTGTGTTTGTGTGTGTGCATGTGTGTCTGTGTGTGCATGTGTGTCTATGTGTGTGTTTGTGTGTGTCTTTATGTCTGTGTGTTTGTATATATAATATTTTTCCAAGTGTTACTTTATAGGCTGTACTTGAGTAGCAGATTTCATGCTTGTTCTTAGTGAAATGACAATTCTAGACTTATGAACTAACTAGGTCTTCGATGATATCAAGCGACTCTGTTTGATTAATGGAAGCATGGCAGTTTTTAAAAGGAATTCCTCACCCTTTGGGAGACATACCCCAAGTCATTATTAGATGAATAATACACAGTCTACCTGTTGAAAAGTTCAGGGAGGCAGAGGAGTAGGAGGAGCCACAAGTTGCGAAGCTGCAGGTGGACCAATGAGGCTTCATTATCCATGTCCTCTCTGCTCTAGCATTGTGGTAGGGTCCCGTCAGGCTTCACAACAGGCAAGGAAGGTGACCGGGTGAGGGAAGAAGGAAACTCGGCTCAGAGCCATTTTTTTTTATAGTACCCACTTTCCTTTCTTTGTTGGGATTATCGAATCCCCAAGACCCAGTCCTATCCACAGACGTGAATGTTTTTTTGGCTTTGCCAGACAAACTTAGATCCTAGAGTTTGGATCCCACCCACTAGGAGTCCGTTTCTTTCTGGGCTTTGAAGTATGCACCTGCTTTTGCTTTCAAGTGAACCTAGCTGGGCCTGAGATCTCTCGCTTTCCCTGCCCTTTGATTTTTCTAAATCCACAGAGACAATGAATCAGCTCTTGCTACCCTAGTGGACCTCATCATGACAACATCACTTTCATTTTTCGAAGTTTTAACTTAACCGCTTTCTTATCCGTTTGTGCACTCACTTGTGTGCACGGAAAATGTCCCTATGCTTTGGTTTTTGTTAAGTGGAGACAAACTATTTGCGGCTTGGCTTCCCGAGGATTTAACTACAAAGGACTTCTCAACCATCAGGAGTCATGGCTGCGGTTTCCTTGGTTACCTTGTCTGATTGCTCACCTGCCTGGTATTATGATCATTACCACAATGAAGACATATCACCCCTAAGGACTCCCTTATATAACATTGTATGCATATCCTTTCTCCTTCAATCTGCTTATTACTGTAGTTTTGTTTCAAAACGTTTCATGTAAACTGGAAATTTATATGTACATATGTAAATAATCTTCATTGTCTGGATTCTTGTGTTTCTGGAGAGCGCTGGGTCTCATGTGCAGGATCTTATTCTCTTAGGGATTACTGAAGGGTTTGGAAACTTTCCCTTCTTTGCCTTCTAGAAGCTCAGGGTTTTCTGTGCAGCATGGCGTTGCGGAACCCGCAGGTACGAAGATGCAGGAGAGCAGGATCACGAGGACACTCGGATGCTCAGCTCCAGCCTGCGCAACGACTCCGCAGCGGCGGGGAGAGCATGCGCACGCACACGCGCGGGGCCGCCTGCGGGGAGCAGAAAAAAAGATTCAGTCAGGACGCCAGCGCTGTGAGGGGGGTCGCCACTCTCCCACGGCCACTTGGCTGACGTGAGCCACTGGGGCGCGCACTGGGACGCGCACGGCGTCTCGCTTGAGCCAGGGCTGGGCCGCGTGCGCGCTGCGCTGCGCTTCTCCTCCGGGCCCGTCGTGCGTGGTCTCCGTGGCTCGCAGCACCCGGTCCGCTGACGCGCGTGACTGACGGCGAAGAGGGCAGAGGCTGCGCTCCGGCTGCCGAGCATCCCGGTCTCCGCGCGATGAGCCCCGAGCCGGCGCCTCCGGAGCCGCAGGGCGTGCGCCGCAGCCTCGAGGAGCCCTCGGCGGAGCCCCAGGGACAGGGCTCCGCGGCCTTCCTCGCGGGCGACTATGAGGTGGCGGCCGAGCTCTTCCGCTCGCTGCTGGCTGGCCTGGCCCAGCCGGAGCGCGGCCTATGCTTGCAGCTGGGAGAAGCGCTGGCCCGCGCAGGCCGCCTGCCCGAGGCCATCGGCGCGTTCCGTGGCGCTGCGCTGCTCGGCCCGCTGCAGCCCGGAGAGCTATCCGAGCTGGCGAGCGGCCTGGCGCGCGCCCTGGGCCTGCGCGAAAAAAGGCCGCCTGCGGTGGTGAGGCCCAGCGGCTGCGCATCCGGGGCCCCGGGGCCCGTGGCGCCGCGCGACCTGCTGGGCTGTCCCCGCTGCGGGCGGCTGCTCTACAAGCCGGTGACGCTGTCCAGCGGCCTCACAGTGTGCAAGCGTTGCGTGGAGCAGGTGCCGGCGCGGGCGCAGGCCCGGCGCGTGAACGTGGTGCTGAGCGGGCTGCTGGAGAGGTGCTTCCCCGCCGAGTGTCGCCTGCGTAGGCTGGCGTGCCAGGCGCGGGGGCTGCAGCGCCAGCAGCAGCCCGAGGCCGCGCTGCTCAGGTGCCAGCAGGCCCTGGACATGGGTGAGTCAGCCTCGAGGGTGACCACAGGGCTGGGCGGTGGCCGGTCGCATTTTAATTTCAGCGGTAGTAAGGTGCACAGCCTCACCCTGAAGGGTGGCCAGTGTCATACCCCAGGTACATCGCACTGTGGCTCTCCCATGGCTGCAGTGCGTGCCGTAAAGCAGTGTTAGCCAAAGAGCTGTAGTGTAAGCCGCGGAGTGTAATAAATCTTCTGGTAGATATGTTAAGTAGGGTGACCAGAAGCAAGTGATATTTTAACAGCGGTTTCTATTCTGTATCTGGAATATTATTTATGTGTCTTCAGTATTTAAAAGATCAGTCTGTTTGTTTGTTTGTTTGTTTGTTTTGGTCCGTTGTGTTTTTTACATTCACTGCACTCCCTAGGTCAGACAGGACTTTTTCACTTGAAGACCTCCACCTGTGTTTAGATGTTGGAGAAGATGAGAGCGGTCACGTGCAAAGTATCTTCCTGGAAAATTGTTTGGTAGTGTCTATTTATTAAATGACTTGTTTCTAACAGTTCAAAGAGGTATATTTACGTCTGCACCAAACGATTGTACAGAATGTGTACACACCATCACTAAAGTTACTTCTAGGGCTGGAGAGATGGCTCACTGGTTAAGACCACTTTTTGCTCTTGGTTCTCAGCGCGTTCATGTGAGGAAATTACAAAGTTCCAGGGGATCTGTCGCCCTCTTCTGACCACCTTGGAAACTAGCCAGGTTCAAAGTGCACATAGATACCTGTAGGCAAAGTATTCACACATAAATTAAAAACTAAAATGGAAAACAAGAGCAGAATGGGTGAGTATAGCCTTCGTGAGGAGAAAGGGAACGAAGCAGCTGCAGTACACTCCATTATGAGAACCCCACAAACACACTGCAGGGAGAGAGCATCTGGGCTGCCAGGCCCGTCAGAACAGGTCTGTCTGCAATCCCAGCTACTTGGAGCTTGAGGTAGGAGAATGGTAAGTTTACCTGCCTGGGCTATAGTGTGGTTCAAAGCCCTGTCTTAACAATGAAAAAAATAGGTGGGGGCTGTCTTAGGGTTTTACTGCTGTGAACAGACACCATGACCAAGGCAATTCTTATAAGAATATTTAATTGGGGCTAGCTTACAGGTTCAGAGGTTCAGTCTATTATCATCAAGGCAGGAACATGGCAGCATCCAGGCAGGCATAGTGCAGGAGGAGCTGAGAATTATACATCGTCATCTGAAGGCTGGTAGTGGAAGACTCACTTCCAGGCAGCTAGGATAAGGGACTTAAAGCCCACACCCACGGTGACACCCCTACTCTAACAAGGCCACACCTACTCCAATAGGGCCACACCTTCCAATAGTGCCACTCCTTGGGCTGAGCATATACAAACAATACCATTCCATTTCCTGGTGGCCCCTATAGGCTTGTTCAAAAATATGAGTCTATGGGGGCCATGTCAAAAACATAGCATAATAAAAATACATTTAGTCCAACTTCCAAAGCCCCCATAATCTACAGGAGTCTCAACAGTATTAAAAATCAAAACCTCAAGGTCTCTTCTGAGATTCATCTAATCCCTTAACTGTAATCCCCAAAGCAAGACAGGAAACCAGCTGGACAGAGTCCAGATCCTACATGTCCATGTCTGATGTCAAAGTGGTCTTCATTTCTACAACTTCTTTTTCATCTTTGTTGCCTGCAACAAACTGTTGGCTGCTCTGGTTCCAATCCCTGTTAACAACTTGCCTCAGCAGATAGTCCACAGCTCTGGCATCTTGAATATCTTGGGGTCTCCAAGGCAACTTCAATGTTACAGCTTCTTGTTTCAATGTCTGGGATCCACACATGATCTTCTGGGCTCCTCCAAAGGGCTGTTGTCATTTCTCCAGCTCTGCCCTCTGAAGGACTCTAAGCTCAGGTTGATCCATTCCACTGCTGCTGCTGTTCTTGGTGATCAGCTCATGGTACTGACATCTCCAGGTCGCTGGAGTCTTCTGCTGCAACTAGGTTTCATCAATAGCCTATCATAGGCTCTCTTCATGGTGCCAAGCCTCAACTCCTTTGCATGACCCCTTCAGTCCTGGGCAGTCAACTGCAACTGAGGCTGCACCTTCACCAATGACCTTCCCTGGCATCTCACAGTACCAAGCCTTAGCTGATCTCCATGATCCCTTCAAGCCTTTACAACCAGTACCATCTGGGTGACTCTTATTACCAAGTACAGCTGCAGCACGAGGTATAACCTTGGCTATCTCTGGAACACAGCTTTTCTGTGCTCTCAGAAAAACACTTCCCAGGAGGTATTTCAGTGATGCTGGTCTCTTCTTAATCACTGCTAATTTCTTAGCTCCAGCTAACCAGCATCAGTTGTCCCAGTAGTCCCTTCTATTTTTCACTCTAAAGCCAGAGCCACATGGCTGAAGCTGCCGTGTTCTGATGCTTTCTGAGACTAGAGCATGTCCCCCCCCACCCCCGCGCCCTTAGTCTATTACAGCTTTCTGTTTTCTGACTCCTGCTCTGCCTATGCTTGGCTTTCCTGAAACTTACTCTGTAGATTGACCTTGAACTTCAGAGATCTATAGGCCTGTCTCCTAAACACTGGATTAAAGGTGTAGTCCACCAAGCCTGGATTTAAATTCTTCTTCACGTAGAGCCTGCTCTATACTGAACTGGCCTTGAACTCAGAGATCCGCTTGGCTTTATCTCCTGGGATTAAAAGTGTATACCTCCAAGCCTGGATCTAAATTTAGCTGGGTAGGATCTCGCCCCAAAGTGCCACTCCCTTAATCTGGCATCTTCTAGAACACAGGATTCAGCTCCATTTCACTTCCTGGTGCCCCTTTAATACTTGAACTATATATTTTTCCTTTCTAAGCTTGCTGTGTTTGTTCAAGACAGTCTTCATGAGACTTAACCAGAAAACAAAGTCTCTGCTGTGTGTTTCTGGGACTTCCTTTGTCAATGCAATTAATCTGAGTCTCCTCATTTTAGCCTCAGGCAGACTCTTCAGACAAAGGCAAAAAGCCACCATGTTCTTCACCAAAATACTACAAAAACAGTCTGTAGGTCACATATTGAAATTCTCCACTGAAACCTCTTGGAACAGGTCTGCACAATTCAAATCACTCTCAGTAACAAAGTCCTGTATTCCTGCTAGGATAGCCCATTAAGCCCCATTTAAGGCATTCCACAACTTTCCAAATCCAAAGTCCCAAAATCCACATTCTTCCAAACAAAAATATGGTCAGGCCTATCACAGCAATACCCCAGTCCCTGATACCAACTTCTTAGTTAGGGTTTTACTGCTGTAAATAGGCACCATGACCAGGGCAACTCTTATAAGGACATTTAATTTACAGAGGTTCAGTCCATTAACATCAATGTGGGAACATGGCAGCATCCAGGCAGACATGGTGCAGGGAGCTGAGCGTTCTACATATTCATCTGAAGTCTGGTAGTGGAAGACTTGCTTCCAGGCAGCTAGGTTAAGAATCTTAGAGCCTATGCCCACAGTGACACACCTACTCCAGTAAGGCCACACCCACCCCAAAAGTGCCATACCTTCTAATAGTGTCATTCCCTGGGCCAAGCATATACAAACCATAACAGGGGCTATAACTCAGTGGCTAGGATGGCTGCTTATCGTGTGTCAGATTCAATATTCTGTACCATACTCCCTCTCCAAAAAAATAAAATCTGAAAAAGAAGAGAAGAAACAACCACCAGACACAAAAGCATTTTTACTGTGATTCCAGTTGTTTGAGGGTGAGCAGGCAAGCCACTACAGGGTGTAAGAGGTAAGAGTGGTGGTTATTTTGGGTAAGGAAACTATTGAATATGAGGAAGCATGTGGGATCTGTGGGCAGTGATGCAGTTAGTCATGGAGATTACATGTGTGTTAACTTTCTGATAGTTTTATAGGCTATATAACTATGTCTTAAGCTTTTTATGTATGTATGCATGCATGTATGTATATATGTGTATTTCAGAACTCAGTTTACAAGTCTAAAACCTTGACAATTTCAATCCATTCATAGGACAACTTAATATTGAATATATCCTTTGTTAATGTTTTATTCAAAGAGTAGAAAAGAAAATCAGGTCTCCTGGTTTCAACGTACATAAATGAAAAAGGAGACTGAGGATGTAGCTCAATGGTAGTGTGAATGCTTATTATTTATGAGGCCATGAGTTCAATTCCCCAGTGCTACACAAAGAAACACCACACACACAATTAGATTTTATGATGGTTTTGCTCAAATTAGAAGTTTAGGTACAATGAGAAAGACCACAGATGTTTAGAGTTAGAGAGTTTGTGTTTGTAGCAAACATTATCACTTGTCCCAAATACTTCTTTCTTGATTCCTTCCACAGACAAGGTAAGATTCCCCCAAGTTACATAGAGGCTTTTTGAGTAATCTTTACCAAAAAGTTGTGAATATAATTCACATATACATATGTTAAAGAGGATAGATGAAAAGATAATGAGTTCAGCAGACAATTGGCTATGCACACACACACATACACACACATACATATGTTCACAGACATATGCATATACATATACACCTATATATATACATGCATACACACATACACACTTACACATACTCACACATATACATACACACATATACATACATACACATACAGACATATACACACATACATACATACACAGACATATACATACACATATACATGCACACACATACATACACATTCATACATACATGCACACATATATACACACATACACACATAACTTACACATACATACACACTCATACACATATATACACACTCATACACATATATACATACATACATACATACACATATACACACACACACATACATACACACACGCACAAAGACTGGATAATCTAGGATTGTGTCTGACATTAGAAGTTAATTAGATGGGTTAAAAACCAAACAAATCAGACTGCACACATCAGAAGAAAAATCCCCAAAACAGGTTGTATTGGTTAGGGTTTTTGTCAACTTAATGGAGGCTAGA